CCCCAAAACCCCAAAACCCCAAAACCCCAAAACCCCAAAACCCCAAAACCCCTTTCTTTATGGAGTCATTTAAGTTAATTATCAATGACGTTTAGCAAGGAGCGTCAGAATTTGTCAACCCTTGGCCTCTTCACGTTCTTTTTAAGATACTCTCCCCATATCCTTCCATTACTAGGTATTAGAGATGTAGCTTACCTAATTGAGGAAGTTCCTTCTGGATATTGTGATTTTTTAGACTGCGAATAAGCACATAAAAATTACCTTTTGACTCTTGACTCTTATACTCCTCTCCTTAACATGATCTCTATGATTTAAGAGTTATATATACATTGATATCAGTTTAGGTCTGTCCTTGGCCCTCTTCTCCTTCTTAAATTCAGGGACTACATCTTCACTAATTGCAAAAATATCCGAATGGGTGGGATCTCTTCTGGAAAACTGGCTTGATTTAAAAGGACTCTCAACGTTTCTCATCCGATCATGTGACAAAGTTCTCTCATTTTTACCTCCTTTATAGCTCATTGATTTAAACTCCACACTAGTCTTTGGCCTCCTCTTGGTACAATAGCTGGTACTAAATTTAGATGAGAAGGTTTCGGTTACTTTATGCTCCTAGATCTCTTATGAAATGATATTTTCTTCTTCTTAGCCTGCTTTCTGTACTTAAAGGCAAACGACTTCTTATCAACTAGGTCATACTTAGGCTTGTATCTGCCTATAAAAGGAGTTCCAAGTTTCTCTTTTATTCCATGAATCTGGTTATACTGGTCTTCTTTGGACACTGAGCTCATGAAAAATGCCTTGCTTCTTAGTAAGAGATTTTTCTCTAAAAATAAACAAGAAAATATACTTTCTTCATCTTTCTTCTTTTGGAGTAATCTCTGGTACACATCATAAGGCTGAATATTCCCTTCTTCATCGTATAGGAGGTCGTCAACTTTGCTAGTCTAGAGATAAGTGAGGAAGGTACATTTGTGGTCTTAGGTTTTTTGCCCTTATCTTTCTCCTTCTCTTTGTTTTGATGACGCTTGAGATCTTCCAGGGTGTAGATTACAGATTTAGCATCTTTTGGCTGAAGAGTTTCGTACTCTGCTTCATCCTATAATTGATCAACAAAGATATACAAATTCCTTCTGAGATTGCATATTAGAGATAATCTCTCTCCATGTTGGCTTGAAGGTCGGAATATGTTTCTTTATTAATCTGTTGATTTTATTTATCTTGCTTAATTTTATCGCCTATGAACCAGACACCTCCAGAGCCTTCAGGCTTGATTGCCTTATGCTTAAGATTCCCTGCCACTTTGACTGAATTTATATCCTAGGATTAACCTTGGGGTCTAAGGAGTGCTGGTCCTTTCTTCTTTTTCGCCTCTTGTTTGATTTTGAATATAAGAAACCTTTGTTAAATAACCCAATGTTTTCATGAGCAACACCCCCTTTCGCAGATTTGGCAGCTATTTATAGTTGTTTATTGGGAAGAAGAAAAGCACATAGATCAATTTAGGATTACCTTGCTGATTAAATGCCTTCCCTGTGCGACTGTAGGGCTTAACAATGATTGAAGTTTTATCTATACTTCCTATCATAATCAATTTAAATTATAAATTTACATTTTTATTGCTTGGGGTTTTGGGGTTTTGGGGTTTTGGGGTTTTGGGGTTTTGGG